AGCACACCATGTGAAGAGAAATCCAACCAGTTCCCCGAAAATCTTAGAGAGGTAGACCTGGGCCCCACCATTGAGAGGGATAGCGCCACCCAATTCTGCATAGCTGGCCGCGCCGGTCCATGCCAGCAACCCTGCGACAACCCACGCGATCAGAGCTGCGCCGGGAGACCCCGCATTGGCATTGACTTGACTCGGCGACGAAAAGATCCCAGATCCGATGATGATCCCGACCACCAACGACAGACCGTTCAAGTACGTCAATGTCTTATTTCGTTCTAACGAGCCGTCGGTCCCGCCTTGTCGGTCAAGTGCGGAGGGAGCCCCTAAGGGAGCATACCCCCCCGCGGTTTGCGATAGTGGGAAGAGGGCATTGCCGAAATCGAAGGCAGAGGAGACGGAGTACGATCGGGCCGACCTCGCTCGCCCAGACTCAAGATTTGTGTGCGTATGTGAGTTCGATAAGGGATCCTCGTCCTCGAGGGAGAGCTTGCGTGAGGAGGAAATGCCCGAGGGCGAGGATGAGGCTGAGGACCTGCCCGCAGATTCCGGGGACGACGCAAGTGATGCAAGTTCTAGAGAATCACGAGGGGCATGGAGGTTATCCGATCTGGTATCTGTTTGCGAAAAGGTAATATGGGACATTTCTTCGAGCCGGTAGCTGTAAAGGCATTCATGTATCAATTGTGTTTATTCAAACAGGTCGTCAACAAGAGCGGACGAGGATCTCTTCTCCATCCCAGCAGAAGGCGGAGGGCTGTTGCACAGGCGACAATGGCGGGGTCTATCCGACCGACGGCGATATCATATGGTAATACAAGTTATACAACAGCAGCAAGAGATTCAGATGCTCTACTCCGTAGTGCTGAGAGTGGGAGACGAGAAAATAAAGATGATCGTCGACAAGGGGGTCTCCATTGATGCCCGATCGAGTTTAGCTCCAGGACGAAAAGGGTCTCCAATTAAGCTTGAACATCAATAAATATCACTTAAAGACTCGACGATAACCCATTTATCATACGTGCTCTTTCGTTGAGAGTCAACCTCATGAGATCCCGACTACCAAGGTCAGGGGGACTTTTGTTCAACCCGCCTTCTACCCTGAGCAAGAGAGTAACTTCTCGTCGTTATACCGCGTCATCATCTACAACCTCCGCACCTTCTCCGCCGAAAAAGCGTCTATGGCTTCGACTGACCATTGTCACTGCTACCGCGGCAGGCATCGGAGCCTATGTTAGATCGCAACAAGGCTCAGAGTCGACCATCCTGAATCCAGTCACCTTTACCAAATATCGTCTTGTCGCAAGGGAACCGGTATCGTCGAACGGCAGCATCTTCACTCTGAAACCACCCAAACCCGACGGCAATCGCGAAGTCTACGAAGATGCATGGAAGACAGGCGTATGGAGCGTTATGTTCAAGCAACCGCAATTGCAAATCGGAAGAGACTATACACCCCTACCGCCACTATCACTAAAGGGGGAAGATGAGCAGGAAGAAGGGTGCCTCCGGTTCTTCATTCGGAAAGACCCGTTCGGGGAGGTATCGCGGTATCTGCATTCTCTTGATGTAGGATCAGCTATTGAAGTGCGCGGACCTCGAATCGAATGCGAAATCCCCTCGGATACTCGGCAGATTCTCTTTATCGCGGGCGGTACTGGGATTGCTCCTGCTTTGCAGGCTGGGCATACGCTTCTACGCCGGACAGACGCGGACTACAAGCCGAGGCTTCACATTCTCTGGGCGAACCGAAGACGGGATGACTGCCTGGGAGGTTGCAACGATACTTCGGCAATAGACGAAGCGCAGCAAAGATCCTGGTTTTCAAGGCTGTTCGGATCATCAAAACCCAGCAGTCCTCCGCCAGTCGGTCCTATACAGGACCCGGCAGCCACTTCGCTCATGGTCCGCGAGATTGAGGCTCTCAAAGCTCGATATCCGGGCCAAGTTACGGTTGACTATTTTGTGGACGAAGAGAGTTCGTTCATTGAGAAGAAATCCATCACGAGATTCACCGATTCCGCCTCCTCCAGTGGGCCTCCTGGCGGTGAAATGATCCTTGTGTCAGGACCGGAAGGCTTCATCAGCTATATGGCCGGACCAAAGCTGTGGGCACAGGGGATGGAACTCCAAGGTCCACTTAACGGAGTTATCAACGAACTCGACCTGAAAGATTGGGCGGTTTGGAAGCTTTGAGAGTCCAACATCCCGTCTATGTACATTTACAATATGTAACATTCTGAATCTTCCCGTGTAAATAATTATATATATATATATTCGGCACTATGTTGAATAAAGCTGGGTAGTCGAGGTTAACTCCGTACGAACAATAAAGACATTTTACAGCTTAAAAATTGGAATCATAGGCCTCGGAGCGACCACTTAGACATTGCCGGTGGCGTAGTCTTCGAGGTACTTAGCCAGCTTCTCAACGTTCTCCAAGGGAACTGCATTGTAGTTGCTGGCCCGGATACCGCCAACACTGCGGTGTCCCTTCAAACCCTGGAGCAGGCGCTTCTCAGCTCCAGCCAGGAACTCCTTCTCCTTCTCGGCATCGCCGCCGTAGACGCGGAAACAAAGGTTCATACGGCTCCGGACACTCTTGTCCGGAACAACGTGGTAAACCTGGGGGTACTTGTCCAAAACACTGTAGAGGATCTCGGCCTTGCGGTTGGAGATCTGCTCCTGACCGCTGACCTTCTGCTCACCGTAGGTCTGGACGAGTTCGGCCATAACCTGTCCCGCAATCCACAGGTTGAAGATGGGGAGTGTGTTGTACAGGGAGTTATTCTTCGCGATGGTCCCGTAGTCAAGTACGACGCTCCCCGGTAACCCGCCAAGGTTCAACCGATGAAGAAGAGCGGGTGCTGGTGTAGGGGTCTGAGGAGGCAAGAGCGACTTTTTGATGATGACGATGGAAATACCAGCGATACCAATGTTTTTCTGGGCACCACCCTGCTGTCCATTAGCTCGGAGACTCGAAAACGAAACCTCGTCACAAGAAGTATACGTACAAAGATCACAGAATACTTGTTGACATCAACCTTTCGGCTGAGGAAGTTGGAGCTCATGTCTGCAACGACAATTCGGTCGTCCGACTCCAGGATCTTTGGGAAGCTGGGGAACTCCACACCGTCCACCGTCTCATTATCACAGAAGTAGACAAACGCCGAGTTGTTGCTGGGCGAGAGAGTCCAGCTCTCCTCTGCAGGGATGTTGCCAAACTTCCCATTGTTCGCGGTTCTGGCATCCAGCGCGATGTTCACATGTTTGGCACCCACCAGACGGGTAGCCTCCTGCGATGCCTTCAACGACCAGGAACCCGTGACGATGTAATCCAGCTTCAATTCCTCCTGCACTTCTTTTTGTAATCTCTCAAATACCAGTTGATCCTTGTTTTCGGTGGCCGAAATGTCGGCCTCTGCTCTCTGTCGTCTGCGTTCTACCCAGACTCCAACCAGGTTCTGTACGACCGAGCTGAATTGTCCACTTCCACCTCCCTGCATGAACAGGATTTCGTAGTCATTGGGAATATCCAGGAGCGTTGTCAGGCTCGCCTTCGTGTCTTCCAGGATCTTGTTTGCGGTAGGAGAGCGATGCGAGATTTCTCCGAGACCGAGACCGCAGTCATTGTAGTTGACGAGGGCCTTTGCGCCCGCCTCCACGACCGAGGTGGGCAGGGGAGCAGGGCCAGCTCCGAAGTAGGCGACCTCTTGTCTGGAAGGCATATTGACTGTATGAGGCTCGACCTTTTGATTAATCGAAGCAGGTTCAAAATGGTTTGGCCTGAGAGAGCGAAGAAGCAAATTTAAATGCTGGCGGGGTTGACTCAAAAAGGTTCCCAGGCCCCGCCGGAGATTGACAGTCATCTCCGAGAGCGGATGTCACTGCTCTTGGTATTGACTCATCGCCTCAACCACGACATTGTTTTGAATATTTTGCCAAGGGATGATTGCTTGACATATTACTTTCAATATTGTCTAGTATAAGATCTTCTACAGGGTGTCTTGTCTTGGTTGCACATATCATCACCTTTACCTCTCTAAAAGGGTGTTTATACCGTATGAGCACGTGTCTTGTATAGCTTCAACTTATCCTATTATGGTAAAAAGTGCAACTTCATCCTGAGATGTCACTTTCCATTCCAGCATACTCACCTACCTTTATTACTGTTTAACTAGATTGCATTCAGACAGATGTTCATGATGAAGAATGTCCTCTTGTATCAGATTCATGCTGACGAAAAGATGTATTTCATTGAGAGGAAAAGCACGCTTAAGAGAAGAATAAAATTAATCAGAACTAACAGCCCCTTGCCGGTTGTCGTCCTGGGGTATTCAACTGCATTGAACAGTTGCGTGTTGACCACCTCCAACTCTCCTTTCAGTGCCCTGGGCCCCGCCTGAAAGAGACCACAAGTCACAAACAAGCCGAGCGTAAAAAGACACTTTACACAGCTCTTCTGGCATCACCACAGCGGACGATGATATTCAATGGTGGACAACCCTCTCTCTCGTTAAGCACATGTATCTACTGATATCACAGGTCAGACTGAATCAGGTGTAGCACTTTATTGACAGTATAGCATAGGTATATTCGTTTGCCAACGTCCAGAACATATCAATCAGGGGAAGATCTGACTGCAACCAACAGCTATTGACTGTGGCAGTGTCGGACAGATTCAAGGACTGAAGATGAGGGGAAACAGACGATCACCTACAAGGGCCACCCACCGCTGCTCGTCCGTTTCAGCCTCGTCCGTGACTGTCAGCCTGCAGCTTCGCAAGTCTAGCTTAGTGCTGCAGCTTGGCTGTGCACTTCGAGTCTTTCTTGGTTTCTTCTCGCCCTTCCCAATTTTCATTCTATTTTACTTTTGTTCTCTTCTATCACAATACCATTCGATCCCCGTCACTGGCATCTATTCCAATATAGTAGTCGTTGGCTGCCTACATCTATACCGACCAATGCTGGACTCATAGTTACGCCAGAAAACCACCTTCCCCATGGACCCATTCACCTGGATCGGTGCGATTTCAGGAGTTCTTCAAATCGCTCAAGTCATCTCCCAGACAACCGCAGGTTTGGTCAAATTAAAGGGGAGGTTCAGCAATGCCGATCTCACCATCCAGTCACTCATCGGAGAGCTATCGATTATCGAATCGGCTTTGACTCACCTAGAGGATTGGGCCAAATTCAATGCCCGTGGTACGACCAAATCTGAGGAGTACATGGAAGGATTGAATGTCGCATTGGATGGCTGCCGGGCGGTTATGGAGGTTCTGTCCGAAGAGGTAGCGTCCCTAGTCCAGAACATAGCAGGACAGGACTCTGTCGTTGGATTCAGAGCTCGTGTCAAAGTAGTTTGGAATGAGGATGTCATGCGAGGTCACCAGGACAGACTCCATGCGCAGGTGGTGGCCTTGCAATTGCTGCTACAGGCGTGTCAATGGTCGGAGCCTCGAGTACTTAACATGCACGTTATATGCTGACATCGCGATAGTCGCTCATCGTCCGAGCAAGTCGAGCTGCTCCGGAGAGCGGAAAACCGCCAGATCATTAAAAAGGTTGCCGATGATACAGCCACTCTTCGGAGCTCCAGCTACGCAGGCTCCCAGGCACACGGTTCGAGTTGGAGCTTTTATCAGCCATCCGTCAGCAACGTCGCTTCGGATTTGGACAGAGTGCTTGCCTCTTCTCCCTCAATCGGTTACGCAGGTCACCACTTCCGATCCAAGTCGGACATAGATGAAGGCTATGCAAGTGCAGCCACTACCAGTCGCAGCGTCTCGCAAACAGATGGCTTCTCGCTGCCCCTTCGTCCCAACGATTCGATCGTTATGAGAAATGGTCACAGCACGAGCGCAACGTTACAACATGCTCCGCGCCAGTACAGCCAGAGTCAAGTTCAACGATCGCAATCAGATTCAAAACCACCATCAAGTGGTCGTCCTCCGTTGGGGTCCAAGCGCGAGAAGATACGTTCGGTCTTTCGACAATTCAGTCGAAGCAGCTTAACGTCAAGCTCTTCGAGGTCGTCCGGGCTAAGCCCTACGGCATCGAGAGTAGCACGAGCTGTTAACGAAAAAGATTTGAAGACGAGCATTGACCTGGCAACTCCTGAAGGGGCTACGGCTCCTTTGATCGTCAAACTGGCTCAGTCAGGAGGTCTGGCTGACATTGAGATGCTTATAGAGAGTGGACATGGAGTCGATACACGGCATCTGAGTACTCGAAGGACTGCCCTATTGGTGGCAGCGCACTGTGGTAACGAGGCGGTCGTCAATTTGTTTATTCAGAAGAACGCGAGACTTGACGCTGTCGATGCCTGGGGTTCTACAGCTCTCCATCTAGCGGCTTCACGCGGCCATTGTGATGTACTTCAGCTGCTTCTTCTGGAGCAGTTGGACACCGAGGCACGAGATGCCCAGGGCAGGACGGCGCTTTGGCTAGCGGCTGGTCGAGGCCAGCTTGAAGCCACCCGCTTGTTGATTGCCCACCACGCCAGGGTGAATGTGCGAGCGGACAATCATACGACACCACTTCATGCTGCAGCAAAGCGAGGTGACGAAGCAATTGTAGAGCTTTTAATATCATGTGGTGCAGATTTAGAAGCAAGAGATGGTGCAATGATGACAGCGTTGCACTATGCATGCGAAGAAGGCCACCTAGGCGTGATGACACTGCTCCTGGATAACAGAGCAAATATCAATGTGCCCGGAAGTGACCGAAGGACGCCGCTCATCTGCGCCGCAGCAATGGGGAGATTTCTGGTGACGCAGGAGCTGCTCAGGCGTAAAGCCTCGACCCATTGTGTGGATGATGCTTCCATGACTGCGGTACACTGGGCCGCGTTCAATGGACATATCGAGATTGTAGATCTCTTAAGTCAGAAGAAGGGCGTGCTGACAGCAACCAACAAATTAGGGCGAACAGCCCTACACCTTGCGGCCATGAACTCGCGTTTTGCGGTGATAGAGCTACTTGTGCGCAAGGGTGTACCGGTCGACACACAATGCCTCGACGGTCTCACCCCTCTCCATTACGCCTGTTTGGCCAACAGCCTTGAGATTGCCAGACTACTGCTCATCAGTAACGCGAACATCGAGGCGCAGACAGAGATCGATCAGCAGAGACCCATCCACATCGCAGCCGCTCGTGGATCGATGAATATGCTCAATCTGCTTTGTGACAAGGGAGCCTCCCTGGAGGCTAGAGACGCCAAGGGTGACCGGGCTCTCGGGGTCGCTTGTCGTCACGGCCATGCAGCAGCAGTTCAGAGCCTCCTTGGTCGAGGTTGCCCTTTGTACGTGGCATACGAAACCAGACCACAGGAAGATTCCCCACTGTGTCTGGCAGCAAAGGGGGGCCATCTCCCCGTAGTTTCCCTTCTCCTCCAGCACGGCGCATCCGTCGTGCGGAGAGACGAGTCCGGATGGCAGCCACACCATTACGCCGCGTATTATGGACATCCTGACGTTCTGGCCCTGTTGCTTCAACGTGGACCTGCATCGGCAAACGATGGGACTAGGTTCGGCCTTGACGCCGCGGGAATCGGTTTCGCCCCTCATACGATCATCTCTGATGAGCGGAAGGAGCAAGTCCGGCGGTTGTTGAACCAAGATAGCAGGCAATTCGCCGCCCGGACCCAGATCCTTGCTTCCCAGCCCCTTCAAGCTATAGGAGAAGCATTCCATAACAGGACAATAGACCCTCAGCTATCCTTGATGACTCGATCTCCAGAGCCTTGCGCTGAGCCCTCGGCCATGGCGCCTCAGGAGCTGCCTGTTACCCTCGAGCAAGGACTGCCCGCGAGCCGGTCCGCTACACCAGAGCATATGCGCGGAGGAAGACGCACCAGCATTGGTTTGAGAAGCAATCTATCACAACCTAGGCAGCTCGAGGCAGCTATACAGTTTTCTTCATCCGGTAGAGCTCCCCGTCAACCTGAGCCAAGTGTTTCTCACACTGGGTCTACTTCTGAGCCTTGGTTCGACTACTCTCTGCCGTACTGGAGGGGCTCTCCAGTTTCCGCCGTTCATGAAACCGAGACTGAGGTCGAAGTACTCACACCACAACCGGGTCGGGGGACGGCGTCAGAAATACCATTGCTATCCACATTCTACTCCGTTGACCCTCTATGTGAGTCAACTGGTATGGAGAACTCGGATTCGGAGTCTTCATCTTCTGTATATACTGCGTGCGAGGGGTAAGTCTGTGATGGAGACGGCTTGCATGTAGTGAAGGCTTTGTATTGACGACTATAATGCCAATGATGATGATGACGTTGGCGTCTTAGTAGAATATTATATAATTTTTTATCCTTATGAGACGTCAGCCAGGGGAATTCCCCAGGAAGTGGAGCTCCGCCGCTTGCGCTTATCCACTTGACTATTTAGGGATTGTATACCTTCCTTCTCCATTCACTTCCCATTCTAATAACATCATTCCATCATCCCATCCATTCAAAATGGTTCAATTAGGTCGTTATGTGGTTGAGGACAGAGATTCGTGGTATGGACCTGAATACACCTGCACCATCTGCCAAAACCAGTTTGACGACTTGTCCGACGTGGAAGAGCACTGTCGATGGGACCACTTCTGGTGTGTGCGATGTGAACGCGTCTTCGTGTCAGAGGACTCCAAACGCGATCATCTGCGGAACTCGCATCGGCATCATATCTGCAATCTTTGCGAATTCGAAGTGGACTTTCCGTCTCAGCGCGACCTGGAAGACCACCTGGACGAACAGCACTGCTTGTGCGAACCATGCAAAAGATACTTCCCCTCGGCCTACGAACTGGGCCAGCATGATATACAATGCCACAACTGGTGCAATATCTGCGATCGGTACTTCCGCAATGAGAACAACTACCGCATGGTTCGTCCCCATGCCCTCGCTCAAATGCTACCGTACGTATCCTAACGCCAAACAGCACCAACGCACGCACGACGCGCGCGACGAGGAATGCTTCGGCTGCTACCGAGCATTCGGGTCGTTCTCTGCCATGCTGATCCATCTCGAAGCGGGGAATTGCTCAAAGGGCGTGTCGCTCAGCGATATTCACGAGATGGCGTTTGAGTGCTACCAAGCCCGCAAGTACACTCGGGACCAAAATGATTATTTTCCATACTTTTGCCCTGATCCTGGGTGTGGGCGCGAGTTCCGGTTCCCCTCAGCTCTCTATCAGCACGTGGAGACTAGTCCGAGCTGCGATCATCTGTTGCAAATGCCGAAATGTTTGGCCAAATTGAGACGCTTCATCTCGCAGCGGGTGTAGTCGGCCAACTGGTCACCCCCGCCAACTGGTAAAGACGACAGCAATTGGCGACATACGTTATCGCAACCATCATAGATAAACACAGACGCGCAGAACTATGAATCCCCTGAAAAATCTAGAATTGCGACGACACATTCGAATGCATAGTTTCAGGCTCATTTTAGGCAATCCGACGCTTATTCAAGTACCTTTTGCTAGGCATATTGATATTCAGGCTGTTCTCATTGATGCAGAAGCTGTATGGATTCAATCCATTCAATGGGACTGACAAACATGATATGATGAATCGAGCAACACGTTTTTATCTGGTATCTACCTACTGATAAATTATCTGTTTGTATCGTTGAAAAGAACCGCTTTCGTGGTCGGATGGCGTCCAACTCGCCGGAGGTCAAGAGACTAGACACTCGTATTCTAGTGCCTGGCGTCAGCCATTTCACACTTCTCGCCCCTTTTCCATGCACTTGTCATGATTGACATTCGAGTCCCGTGCTCAATCTGAAGAGAGTCGATGGTCGAGATCTCTTCCCTGACCAAATGTTGTTCCTGGCTAAGCCTCCCGCCGTCAATCTCAATGAAACTGCTAAGGGGTTAAATCTATATAAGAGATGGCCACACTTTATTGAACCTGCGCAGACGCCACGATCTCAAAATGCAAGCGACAGTGAAAAATGCCCTCACTATCGTCATCTCCAGAAGCTCCCCAGCTGAGCAGTATATCTACCTACCATCTCTACCCACAAAATGAGCACAGCATCCTGATCTCACCACACCAACTTCCCATCCAACCGAGGAAACGACGCAAGTTCCTGAAGGAAAATCCCGAAATTGCGACAGATCCAAATGGCTTCTTCGTCCATAAACCCTACATCTCGTTCCATCACCCCCCGCGAACCCTGCGGCGAGGCAGTAGCAAGCAGGGAACCCCAATCTGTCTCATCCACAACTCCGCCTTTTGGAAACGCTGGAACTTCCAATTCGGGGAGGATATGATCACAGCGATTGACCCAAGAGGCGCAGTGAGCTGGAACCGACGAAGCAACGCCGACAACCGCGTCGACCACGGCGACGATCTCGCATTGAAGGGCTACAAGGTGCGCAAGTGGCGACTCTGGCGCGAAACGGGCAAGCAGTATCATCGAGACGTGAACGCGAAGCGGAAGCAGAAGAGAAAGAAAACGGAGACCCACAAAGAAGATGTGCAGCAGGCAGTCTGTCATTCCGATGACGATCCCGATCCGGATGCGGGTCATCGACCTGCGCGTGCTGACGAAGCGCTGGCGCTATGTTGGACCGCACCACTATCCACGCGCACCCGGTGTTATCAGTGGAAGTACGCTGGGGTAGATCTCGTCTGGAAGGGCACGAGGAATCTGCCCGCGGAGCTCAAGTGGTCGAAGCGCTGCTTGCCGTGGCATCACCTTAAACTGACTGCCCGAGTACCACCTTCTTCTGGCCATAGCCAAGGAGAACTGGTGCTTGCTCAGTATTTCAGCAGCATCGGGAAGAAAAAGTATGGCGTCCTGGTCATCTACAAGGCAGAGGTATCCAGGGTTTTTGGACCGCACACGCCAAATGCAAATGCACATGTAGGAGACAATTATGACAGCTCTCTCATCGGAGCCTATGAAGCCATTGTGGCGACTGCAGTTTGTATGGTTGTCGGGGAGAAGCAGAAACGGAATGTTGTATACGCGATCTTCAAAGCAATCAGAAAGGCCGGCGAGGATGGGGCAGGTTAGTTAGTTAGCTTCGCATCAATCCAATCATCGACTTATTCAATCGTCACATTTCCATCTCGAAGATAGAATGAATATCAGTCCCCAGATCATCCTCTCCATCTAAAACAAATAAAACAGCACAGCCCTAACACAGAGACCAACTCCGACCAAATACCTGCCCTATAGGAACGCAGCCACTTCCCCGTCGACTCAAGTATGACTCAACGATAAGCAACAGTCACGAATTTCTTCACCATAGGAGCTGAAGAACGCCCTGTGTGTCTGTCATCTGTTCTGAAACCGCAAATTAGTAAGGTATTTCTCGTCTTTCGGAATTAACCTACCAGCGACCCGCAACTCAATTCTGGCCGATTTGTAAGGCGGATGTAAGCCGTCATGAGTAATCTCCAACTACATCTATACTTGGAAAGCAAGTCACCCACAGAGTGATCGGGAATGTGCGAGAAGGAGCCCGAATCAGAGTACATACGTCTAGTCTAATCTTTTGGTGCGAAAATAGATCATGGATCAAACTTCCAAAAGATTGCAAAGCTGAATGTTAGTCATTTCCGGTCTGCCCTGCCCCGTGGGTGCCTGGCCGATTTGTGCCATGAGGCAGACATATATTCGGGACAAGAGAGTATAAATAGTAGGCATCTTCACATTGTGGTAGTCTCTTCAGGTAGATTCCATTCATTTCAGTCTACTACGTTACAATCTTAGAGTTCGCAATCATCTTGACCTGGTCAGTTCTACCAGTCTTGCGACCATTCTCTTGGACTCGACCGTCGAAGAAGTGGACGACTCAACGGTCCTCTCCTCTTCTGTCCTCTTAAACTCACAAATCTCAATGGGAAGAGGAGGATACAACGCTCCTGCCGAGTCCACGAAGCCCTCCCATCTGGTAACCTGCCGCGCCTGCACTGACGACTTGCCCAACTTGCCATCTATGCAAGGGCGTGGGGGATATTACGACGTGCATAGCGACGACGACTAAATAACGCTCGAGAGTCAATCTGAATCTGTCGGTATAGATTGACCCGGTTGATCTTGTTCTCGGCCTTAATCATGAGTTGGTACGAACGGCGGTGCCTGGGATATGGGCTGTGGGATGGGAATTCGCCATCTTTGGTGGAAGCGACGCAACCATATAGATGCAGAAGATTGTCAAATCAACGAATATATATGCAATTTCATTTTCCAACACAGAACCTAAAACACGTCCCAACGTTAGCCGCAAAGCAACATTATCATCATAATCGCACACGGAAACCCACTTCTCGAATACGACGCCCAAGACATCCTCCACGTCGCCGCTCTCGCCTTTGCCGGTGATCTTGGCGAGAGTGTCGGCGGCGAACCGCAGATGCTCGGCTGCCATCACGACGTCAATTTCAGTCTCAATATTTTGATCATGAGCATAGCCGGGAGTTTGGGGCGTTTGGGTTTGGGTAGTCTCGTTCAGGAAATCGTCCAAGTGTTGCATGCATCTCTGTAGATTAGAACTTTGTCGATGGGTTACTCCCAACGAATCTTCCCAATACGAAATATCATATTGTCCATTCTCATCTCCATCCATCTCCGCCGGGGATGCAATTTCTTCAAAAGTTGAAATCAAGCCCCGTAGAAATCCTTGCATGTTCCCCGGATCTGATTGCTCAGGCAGATTCCCTTCCGAGGCCTCGTGGCAGGATATGTCGAATATGCGTTTCTCCGGAACGGCTGGAAACAGCGTCTTTATTTTCGTCCTCAATTCATGCAGTGACTGGCCTAACCGATCTGCTGCAGGAAGTCGATCGCATTTGTTGATGGCCACAACAATGCACTTCCCAGCTTGTACACAATCATTAACCGCATCGATTACCTCCTGGTCCACTGACAGTTGGTAAGGCGAGCCATTGGCCCCTTCCTCCAGGGAGACGACCAACACAACCACGTCCGATTCCAGAGCCCTGGCTCTGGCGCGCCGGATACCTTCCTTCTCAACTGCTCCAATGACCAAAGTTCCCTGACCGGTGGAAGCGCTCTTCTCAGATCGGATCCCAGCCATATCGCCAAGCTTGCAATACCAGCCGCCGAGATCAACCCCAACATCCACAATGTCCCGAGTGGTTCCCTCCTCGGTACTGACAATAGCGGCTTCCTTGCCCACAATCCGATTCAAGAGTGAACTCTTGCCTGCATTAGGGGCACCAAGCAGGGCGATCTTGACCCCATTGCGCAGGAGTTCTCCCTTCGACGCATTTTCGATATGCAACTTCAGCTGAGTCTGCAGCGCGCGGACCTGTCCTGCGACGGAGCGGACAAACTCCTCAGGAGACTCGTCAAAATACTGGTCCTCGGAGAAATCAATCAACGCCTCCAGTTCCCCGCGCGCATATAGTAACTGCTGGCGCCACAATTCGTAGCGTTTCGAAAGAGCGTCACTCGCACCCCGAACAGCAAGGCGCCGCTGCTGTTCCGTATCAGCGGTGAGCGTATCGCCCAGCGCTTCGATTTGCGGCAGATCAAGCCGGTTATTCATGAACGCTCGGCGAGTGAATTCGCCCGGTTCCGCATAGCGGACCAGACTCTCTGGCCGACTGGTGCGGGCTATAGCCGCCAGCACCGACTTTACGATAGCCGGCCCACCGTGAAGATGCAGTTCGAGGACGTCCTCGCCTGTGACAGTTTTGGGTCCAGGGAAATACAGTACAAGAGCCCCCGCATCGAGGACTGTGTTGGCGGACGGCTCTTGTGTAGGATCGTAGAGGGTACGTACTGCGGCAAGGCGCGCGCGAGGAAGAGGTGCACTGGGACAGAGGGCCCGATAGATCTATTCAAGGGCCGAAGAGTAGGTGTCAGCCGGTCATCTTATGCAGTGATCTCTACGTTGGCGCTTCGGATTTAAGAGGCGCTTTGAAATAATTGTGAACATTGACCTACCTGCACACATGCGGAACCCGAGACTCGTACAACCGCTATGGCTGCTCTACCGGGAGCAGTAGAGAGCGCATATATCGTTGAATCGGCCTCCAAGGAGAATTGAAAGCTCGGAGATGCAGAGAAGTGCCGGCAATTGCTGGGTGATCTCCGCTTGACTCGTCGTGCTAGATCAAGAGCAACTCCATGGCTTGGAGTTGCTATGCAAGAATATCGGCTCCATGACGGGCGAAAGATAAAAGCCCGCCGTAGACTCCAAAACCCGAATGCTCGCATGCGCAGGCAGGTAAGTGGGAAGATGTGGTTGGAACGAGAGGGCGGAGAACCACTGGTGTTGATATTCCCGTTTTATCAATCATGATATCACGTGATTATATACATGTTCTTGGTTGGCACGATTGACTACCATTTACTGCATCTGCGTGTTAGAGCGACCATCTATTAATGTTCTAAGCCTTGAGCATATAGCCAGCCTACTTGTCAAGTGGTTAAAGCTTTAATGACTGTGCTTTGAAGTGGGTGGCGCCATTGATCTATTGACCTTAAAGCAACAGACCATGCAGGTGAACGCGAAAACCTTGGAGACCAACACATGCATGGGGGATATTCAACGACACGACACTTGCGTCACTTCGTCACGCCTGCGCGCCGAAAGACGCCGAGCCATACGCCAGACAACCGACGCTTCAAGATCCACCGCCAAAGAGATACAACAAGGACCAAGTACCTAGTCGTGCCAGTGCAGGAAAAGCACCAACCGCCGAAGGAACGCGCGAAGAGACAGTCAACAACTGAAGGAAACTATGTACAAAAATAGAATAAAGAAAGGAAGTTGGATAGATATGCAGAGAAGAGAACAAGAATTAAGAGATGCCGAAATATGGATGACGGGTAGGTGGGAGGATGTACTCTCGAAAGATGAATTTAAAGCGAATCACAATGAAGGTATGCTCGGGAACAAAGGTAAAAGATCTAGAAAAGAGATGGCCGTGCTGCTAATGTTGACCAGAAAGGAAGAAGAGGCTGGCAGTGATCGAATGCAGGAAAAGAATAAGAAAGGAAAAGTTGAAGACAAGTAACAGTGGGGGGATATTATACACTGAGACACATAGGGAAATGTTTCCGAGACGACATCAGTAAGTCTATCAATCAAACATTATATTATGAGAGTTCGGGTGATTTTGTTTCGGCCGAGCAAGCAGCAACTATGGGTTATAGATCAACCCGACTGCTCTGTAGGCTGATGCTGTGGCGAGCCATCCAGGGGATCTTCGTCACCGGGTGATCCGTGATGCTGATCTGCGTTCGGCGAAACGACAATAGAGGGAGTTTGAGGAGGCTGTGAAGCCCCGTTCTCCTCATTCGAAGGACTGATCATGCCGGGCTCACTCAGTGCTGAGGCTTCGGTACTGGGTGGTGGTGTTGCGGGCTCTGGGACGATCGACAAACTCGAACCGTCAGCGCTGTCTTTGCTAGCATTTCCTCCATTCCTCCTTCTCAGTCTGCGTTTCCGACGTTCCTCCTCGGCGCTCTCTCTTCTCCGTCGAGCACGCTCTCCGTTGTTATCCATGTTATCCCTGAGACCTTGCAGCATGCTTGCAGCGCGGTCTGCAACGTCTTCGCTCTCTGACACCTGCAGCTCGTTCGCCTGGGTGTCTACATCTGTCTCTTGACCTGGTGGGCTCAACAGGCCGGTCTCTGTGGTGCTAGAGTCATTATTGCTGCCCATGAGAGTGGCACTATTGCTGTCCGTCTGCGTTTCACCATTTGCGGGCTCAGATGCAGTGGGGTCCGGCATCTTCTGACCTGAAGCAACGCGAACCTGGTGACGTTCCTTCAACCTGGCGCGCCGACGACGATCACGTTGATCTTTAGCTTGAGGAGCTGCAGCTCGTAATTTCTCCAGAAGCGAGTCCATGGCACCGCTCGCAGCGGGAGACAGCGGTGCATCGCCTGCACCAGAACTGTTGGCAAGGCCGGCGTTGACACGTTTGCGGGCCAGGGAAGCCTCTGTACGCTTCCTGGATTCTTCGAGGGTGATATTCTTCTCTTTCGATTTCTAGGAACCCATTAGCCATGGTTGCCATCGTCACAATAAACGAACGACACGGAAAAAAAGCTTACCTTCCACTCCAGCAGGAACGAAGCCAGCTTCGCAAAGAAATCTCGTCGAGCTCCTTCATCCGTATTATCTTCTCCGTAAAAGACCATGATGTCGTCATACGTCTTGACCATCTCCTCCAGATAAAGCTGCATTTGCTCCGCCTTTCTTCTGGCATCTTTCATACTTCGCTGGACGATTTGACTCACGCGGTCCTGTGGATGGAACTTCTTGGGATCGCTTAGATTGCCAGCATCAAGGCTTGCCTGCACGTTCTTGATATTATCAATGTACTTCTTGGCATCTGCCCGCAACTGGTCGACGTTGATCTTCTGCACTCCGATGACGCCGCCAATCTCATCAACAAAACCTTCCCACTCGGGGTACTGATTGCGGACAATACGCTCAACGAGGTCTGCGAATGTTGTCTCATTCTTATCATCCTTGACCATGCCAAGGCGAGCGAGCGAGCTCAACTTGAAACCTTGAGCTTGCTTGTTGGCGTCGTTCATGAAGTTACCGATATCCAGGATCAGCCCAAGAACATTCATCAAGGAGACTGAGTCTCTCAAGGTCTCGCTGACCCTCACGACCTCGCGGATTTTCGTCGAGAGATGCTCATAGTCCGGCTCGAAGGAGCGTGTGAGTGCAAGGGCCCGCATTCTCGCTTTCCAGTAATGATTCAGCTCAAAAGCAGTGTAAAGGTAGATCTGGTCCTCCCGCGTGAGCTCGGTTGGATCTTGCTCTCGCTCGGAACTAGCAGCATCAGGGCCCGTCCAGTCCTTGCTGTAAGGTGCCATTAACTTGGAGACATTCTCGGGTATCGTGCACATCTCATCTCTCTGCAAAAAGTCCATGACCACCATATTGTCCAGAATTTCTAAATCGCAATGGATTATCATACGGACGACATCGTCGACAGGATACTGAGAGAACTTGGCCAATGCGATCTGGAAGGTCTTCGACAGGTCGTTTGAGATGATCTGTTTCTTGTTTTTGCGCTGCTTGGCGCCGGAGCCGGCCCCAAAAATCTTGGCCTCCTTTGCCATGAATAGCCTTTCGACTTCGTCCAAGACGCCTTTCTTCGCCAACTCGCTGTACTTCTCTTCCTTCGCTTGAGGAGTGGGATCGCGAATAGCCCACACTGTTACCTGTGGAGTATCGACCTTGTCCCAATGAAGAGCCTTGAGTTTCTTCTTCGGTCTAATAGACGACAAGACGGCAGTTGGATGAGAAGGTGCTGATTGCGAAGCCATGTAGTTGGCTCGCCAGCCTCCGCCAACACCAGGCGGCGGAGGTGGTGGAGGTGCTCCGAACCCACCCGGGGGAGGTGGAGGGGGCGGAGGCATTCCTCCAGCAAAGCCAGGAGGGGGTGGCGGAGGAGGCGGCGGCGGCGGAGGCGGAACTCCCAAACCCTTGGCACCTGGCGGCGGCGGTGGAGGCGGAGGCGGAATGCCAACTGCACCACCTGGAGGAGGTGGTGGTGGGGGAGGAGGAGGAGGGGGAGGAGGTGCAGGCACGGATACAGCTTTCTCTTCGGGCTTCTCGCTCTCACTCTCGAGCTTCACTTCTTCATCTTGGCCGACCTGGACTTCTTCAGTCTCGGGTTGAGATGGTTGAGCATCACTCTCGTCGGCTTCAGCATCTTCAGCGTCGATCTTTGGGACTTTAGAAGCAATCTCCCCCAGCAAATCAGACGCTTGTTCCGGATCCATTCGGGGCCGTCCAAAGTTGACGAGAAGTGACCCATCCTGGTCCGATGGCCTCTCTTGACCGTTAGCAGCCTCCATCCCCGGAACATGGCTTCTTTTGCGATGAACAGAACCCAGAGCGCTGGTGTCCAGGTTTCGACGAGCTTGTTCCTGGAAGTCCTCCGGGTCGGGTTCGCCGTCCATCTGCTCCCGTAGCTCACGCAGTCGGTCGGAAGGTCCATGCTGGCCCCAGACTTTGCCCTCCAGCTTGAACTGAGTCTTGGTCCGTTCAAGCTGTTTCTCCAACCGCTCCAGCAGTCTTTCCCGGTCCAGGATACCCCTCATGTGCGTTGGATCGGTCTCGGCAAGATTAGTCTTCTTGGCATTCGATGCAGCGATATCCTGAGCGTCCCGGAGCATTAGATAGAGCTCTCTGGTTTCCAGTTCATTCCGCTGCAGCTCCTGAGCACGCAGCCGCTGAACGTCGGCAAGCTCTGCCTTGAGTGCTTCGTTTTGTCTAGTCTGAAGCTCAATGATGCTCGTTTGTTCATCGATCTGCTTCTGCAGTTTCTTCACCAAACCATCCGCGCCCATCTCCACCTGCGCCTTCATCTCGTCCCGTTCCGCAATTGCGGCCTCCGCGATCTGCCGCGCCTCAAGGGACTCGTCGTATGCCCGCCTTGCCTCTGCATCAGTATGAAGCCGGTCCAGAAGACTTTGTACTGTAAAAGTCAATCCTTGCCGTAAATCAAGATCGGGTAGTCTCCGGTCCATGGCAACGTAGCTGAGCATGGCATCGACAAGCTGAAACATTCGAAGACCGTCCTCCCCAGAGTTCTCCCGTATGAGAAGCATGTGCTGCATAGCGGAAAGGAAGTAATCATGGGCACGCGTCCCATTGAGTCTGGTCAGAATGGCATCCGTGATTTGCAGGGGATCGCTCATGTCCTTCACCTCACCCTCGATGCTATCCTTCATACTGCTACTCTCCCGCTGAAGGAGATCTTCATAGTCAATGGCCTCGTTTTCTCTGAACCGCTCGATCTGCTTATCGATGACCTCGTACTGGAATCCTTCCATCTTCGTCAAGAGACGCTTGATGCCGCAGGAGATGAACTGGGCCCGGATGTGGCATCGCAATTGCAGGTCATTTTCCGGCGCATCCACCAACATGTTGATGAGCATCATGGTTGAGACCGCATACTCCATGAGCAGATTCTCCATGCCAATGCCGCCGCTGCGATACTCTTCACTGGCACCGACTAAACTGCCCATCTTGCCGCGGCCGTCGATCGTCACCTCCACGATTCGCATCCAGGCGTCAAAACGGCCAGTTTCACCATGCTGATTCTTGACATGATCCATAGCCTGCAAGACCTTTTGATGGCCCTCCCCTTCCGCCCAGTGACATAGGAAGGTCAGAACCTCACTGACCAATTTCCTTGTGTTCAGCCGCGGAGATAATAGCGAGCTGATAAGAGCGATAATGACCTGCTGATGATTGATTGCGTCGTCCGCACCATATTTGTTGTTCATGAGGGCCTTGAGACACTTGACAATATCGTACTCTCTATCCAAGTCCCGGTCGCCTGTCGGTGGCGCGGGGACGGGGCCCGAAGCCTTCCTGCGGTTGATCTTTGAGAGAACATTGGTCAAGGCGATTTGACCTTGTGCTTCGACAAAAGCTCTGACCCAACTGTCATATTATTAGCGGGAGGTAGAATGCTGTAAGCCCGGTACAAGAAACTCACCTGATGGGTTGCGTTCGCAGACTGACACTCAAGCTGGCCAATTGCTTTGATGTGATACTGTCATCCATGACCTTCTTCACATACCACTCCGGGCTCCCTTCTTCATCGGCCCGCTCGAGAATGCCGGTCGGACCGTCATGGCCATGAGTTTGCCTTGCGTTCTGCCTCCGCTTCTGTTCACCCTGTAGTTCCGTCAAGCGGTCCTGGTGTACTAGCGTCCATTTCTTGGATGCGGGATACGCCAGCATCTGCCGCTTGGCCTGCTCTGGAAGGTTTTGCCAGCCTCGCTTTTGCATCAAGTCAAGGAACAGTTGGTCCACAATGCGATCGTCCCTGGGCCGCGAGAGATATTGCTCAGGATTGAGGGCCGGTGCAGCAGGATGGGCAGCCAGCTGAGCAGCTTGCCATGCCGCTTGCGCAGTAGAGAATCGATTGGAGTTGCCGCTGCTTGGGAAGAGGGTGCCACGGTCACCTGAATGCGATGTTGTGAGCGTCCGTGCTGAGCCGTCCGATGAGATATAACTCGAGCCCCTTGTGTTGGAAGAGAGAGACGAATGGATGCTGGTCTGATCAAGGGACATCCGTGACGTCGACGATGAATCCACGGTGGACGAAGAATTATGACTGAACCCAGCATTGGTGGCCGAACTACCTGGTCTTGCCCACTGCTGATACCTCGCGCTTTTGTCTCCTGCAGTACTCCCGACCATAGACACATTGGACGCGTGCGGCGGGGGACGCGGCCCAGTAGGATGGGAAAAGGCGTTGTTTTCTCGTAGTCCCGTCGGGTTCCATGCTGGGTATTGATGAAAATCACCGCCCCCCTTGGCAAGATGATTTGGCGAAGGCTCCTTTCGCGGCGATGGCTCCGCCCTGGACAGATAATCTACCGGTATGGGAGACCTGGTATCCGCAGGAAGGCTCTCAAAGGGGATGGATGTTATGACACCTGCGGTCATCGAGAGACCGCTTGGATCGAAGTCGTGCGAGTAATCCACAGATTGGACGGATGATCGTTTCGAATGCCGGGACGAACGGGATCCAGCAACGCTTCCTGGGGGCGCAAGATTCTCCGACCCTCCATAACCCTCATACCGATCGTCTACCGGCCTCTCCTTGTGCAGCTTCCTCCCGAAGAATCCTTTGCCAGCCGAGGTTTGTCTCGATTTGTCGGATGCGGATGTGGTGGTTGGCATCTTGACGGGCGTCGCTGGGGAGATGCAGGGCGCAGCATGAGCGTTGTCCACAACCAGAAGATCTAAAACAGAAGCGTTGTCGCTAACAAGGTTGTTCCCAGAAACCGACGAACCCCGTTGCTGTCAAACCTGCGCAAGGGCGTCAATGACATCCAACTCAAATCCAATAAGCCGTAGTTGGGACTCCTGACTAGCAGTTGAATACCCGCTGCGGAGCAACGCTAGAACAGGAGGGGGGAGGGCGCCGAATAGTAACACTTTAAATCCTCCCTCCTCTTCCGGGCTGGATACGAAAAGGCGCAACACCACAAGCGAGGGGTATCGGTCTCCCAAAAAGGGTGTGATCGCTTGTCCTGCTTGTGCGGGCACTAGGATGATGCTAGAAATGTCGTTTGCTTGTCAGGGTTAAAGCGCGGGCATGACTCGTTTAGGGGGGTGAGAGGCGGCTCTAGAACGCAGTTGGAGCCGCTTACTCACGTGACCATTCTCTCCGTTCAGGAGATAACGTCACGTGGGCTTGTCCGCATTAGTGTGCAGCACCTGCAACGAAGAGCAGGCTGTAAGATAATCATCAGCAGGTATGGGCTACTGGAAACCTGAATGGGAATCTACAGAAGCTTTAAAATTGCTTTGTCTTATTCTTGTGTGATGCAAGCATGATGTTTTCATGTTGAACAGAGACCCGTCACTACTGTCATTACTCCTGAGCCTATACCTAGGCTGCTGCCTTTCACTGTATACGCAATTCAAGCCACCACTTTGAGCCACAGTCAAGATGGGCTCCATGTCAAATGTGGCCAAGGTGAGTTTTCTGCGGTGCCATATTCTGACGGTGTTGATTTCTAATGATCTGTTCCTGCTTAGACCCTTCTTATCCCCGCCGTAATATCCCTGGCGCTTTATCTCCTCCTCTCATTCCTCGTTGTCCCATTCTTCCGTCGCTATCATCAACGCTACTCACAATATCTTCCACTGCAAGCCATTTCTGCGCATACTTTGTCCTTGCGAGATCGTATAGCCGATGCTGTCATGCGCTTCTTCTTGCCCTCGTCATGGCGGCGTCAGACCGACGGACAACACGACAACATTAGCATATTTGACGAGGAGGGGGAAATCATGGTCGGGATGGACATGGATCCCTCTCGGAGGGAAGCGCTTGAAAGACGGCGCGATACAACGGCTGACACAAGTAGCCGACTCAGCCGGGACCTCGAGCAGGGCTTCATGGACGATAGCGATGATGAAGGGGATGATCAGGGCCATTCAAGGGTTTGTCGATGATTTGTGATTGATCGACTATTTGTTTGTCTTGCAGTTACAGCTGGAGTTTGGGTATATGCATATTAGACAGCGGCATGAAGACTGCAGTCAATTCTTCGAATATTTTCGCATGTATCTGATGGATCTCATCGAGAACTTTCCGAATTTGAACTTGAATCAGGTGTTGTTAGAATGATGAAACGGTCAGTAGATACCCTCAAGTGAGACCTGTCTATCCGATATATACGCTCAGAATACCGTGGCAATATCGTTTCAAGGAGGCTGGCTAAGGTACATACCAAATGATGCCAGATATGTGAACAATGCTAACTCAACATTAGATCTGCCTTCTACGCGTAGGACCTCATAACCTCGCTCGAACATTGTAACATCAAGGACAGACATATTTATCCTATTGACTAACGTCCGGATCTTAATTCGATTGTCCAGAGCAATCGTCGACCTCGCATTTTTTCTGCACAGAACACACGAGTTAAACGGAGTGCTTTATGCATAACAGAAAGTGTCCTCCCCTGAGCTTGATACTCATATTTAATTTACGCGGTTCAAGCGAAATTGATAACATGCGAGCCATGTAGTCCGCTGGTGGCCTTGAGTCTGAGCTTCAGATCAATGTGATTGAGGAGAGTGCAGTTATTGAAACACAATTGAATTGGTTCTCAACTCCCTGGAGGGTAACCGATCATGCTTGTATTGAACTATTGACGGTATCATCATGGTTCCAAGGGACCAAGCTTGCGCCTACATGTTAAGCAACTCTAAAAGGGTTAAGCTTTAGCTGATCGACGGTCCCCACCCGCTAGTCTCAAGCCAAACTATTTCAACCCGAGAAGCACTGAGGACTCTGTCGCTGAGCATCTGTGTTGCGTGTCAAGCAATTAACCGCATACATGGCGTGTTAGCTCGATCATAAGACTACGATCAGCTATTAAGCTTGCACTCCAAACCATACAGTGTTTAAGAGTAAGGGCGGAGTCGGAACTCGCGCTATGAGTAACCAACGGATTGAAGAAAACAGAAATGCCATTTAGGTATCATAAAATGGGTAAGTCACTCAATAAGGTGAGCTGCACCAAAGAAATGTGCAAGAATAAATACAATCAATCATTCGCTTCATAAAGTGATTGTGTCGTTTACTTCCTCTGACCGTAGGCCTTGGTGACGTAGTCACCGTCCTTGACGATGAGATCCTCGGGTCTGTAGTCGTGGCGACCGGAGAAGTAGCTGTCGAGGATGGCCTTGGTGCCCTGAGCGTAACGGATCTGGGCGTCGATCGAGGTTCCGGACATGTGAGGAACCATGGCGTTACCACCGCCCCAAGGGCCCTGGACGTACCGAAGGGGGTGGTCCTTGGGAGCGGGCTGAGGGTACCAGACATCACCACCGTAGCCGCGCAGGTGACCGGACTTGACGGCCTCGGCAACGTCCTCCTTGACAACAATAGCACCACGGGCAGTGTTGATGAGCCAAGAGCCTGGGATACAGTTAGCGGACAAGTTATTTGCGGAGTCGAACATGATAGCAAAACTTACCCTTCTTCATCTTGGAGATGAGTTCCTTGTTGAAGAGACCGCGAGTGCTCTCGTGCAGAGGGCAGTTGATTGTGACAACATCGCATTGGGCGAGCATCTCCTCGAGGTTCTCAACACGGCGGCAGCCAATCTCCTTCTCAACCTCGGGCTTGAGGGGCTGGTAGTCGTAGTAGAGCAGCTCCTTGCAGTCAAAGGGCTTGAGACGGCGCAGCACACGTTCACCGATCCGTCCAACAGCGACGGTTCCGACGACCTTGTTCTCAAGGTCGTACTCGTTCTTGGCAACGGCAGCAACATCCCATTCCCCGTTGCGGATCTGCTCGTGGGCAGGGACGAAGTTGCGAACCAGAGTCAGAATGGTCATGACAACGTGCTCGGCGACAGATACAACATTGCAGCCAGTGACTTCGGCGACAGTGATACCGCCGTTGGTCTTGTTGGCGGCATTGAGGTCAACATGGTCGGAACCAACACCGGCAGTGACGGCGAGCTTCAGGTTCTTGGCCTTGGCCAAGCGCTCTGCGGTGAGGTAACCGGGGTGGAAACTACAACCGAAGGTCAGTAATTGCGCACCAGTGTGAGTAACTCCAGATGGGACACGAACGGGGTGGTGATGATGACTTCGGCATCGACCAGCTCCTTGTCAAAAGTGGAGTTCTCGCCCTCCTTGTCGGAGGTGGTGACTAGAGTGTGGCCCTGTTCCTCGAGCCACTTTCTCAAACCAAGCTCATTCTCGGTGGTACCAAGAAGGCCAGGCTGCTGTTTGGCGTGCTCACCGCCCTGTTTTCATTGTCGATCAGCTTCCAGAACCTTGTCATATCATAGCAAAAAGAAGTTGTTGCGGGTACTTACGTCATAGAGGACCATAAGAACCTTGCCCTGTAGATTGGCAGAGGCTGTCAGCGTTCGTGCACCAGAGACAGAACCTCCCAGAGAAGCAGCTCGAAATGGACTACTGCTGGGAGGAGAAAAGACTCCTTTGGTAGAAAAGAGAGAAGTGGCAGGCCGCCGCAGCTGACGGGACAAAGAACGGATAAATACCATTTTGAATTGAAGTTGATTGAGTTAGATATGAAGGAGAAGGATGATTGAGAGATGAACCTAAGATTGAGGAGGGAGTCAGCGGTCTATTTGAATCACCATTGACTTTAGGCCCGGACCCAGGTAGTCAATGGTTATTTCGGCGAATAATTCCCATGGTGATGGAAGCATGATGCAGGGCGGCATGGAAGGTGGGGAATCATGTCCAGGGAGAAGCCGAAGAATTATGACCATTTCAGGTAGACGAAGACACTAGAGGAAAGAATGAGGAGAGAGGGAGTCATATCAGGAAACTTACCGGATTCGGTCAAGCAAAAGAATGAGCTGATGATGAGGATGATGATATGAGATTGATATAGAAAAAAAAGAGCATTCAGAACTACAAGGACACGGCCCCAAATATATAGGCCTTCCTGGGTCCTTTACTAGACCAATTTTCATGGTGAACAGACTGGTGCAAACTGCCCCTCTCCAATTCTCAAGTGCTACTAAGGTATTATGCATAGTAGTACCAAATTACCACATAGCAACCATCAAGGTATCGAGAATGCGGCACTATCCATTGGGGATGAGCGGAACTCCACCAACCAGTGGGCCGTGGCAGAGCAACCTACTAGTCCAGGAGTCAAGGATACAAATGGATCGACGGAACCATGAAAAGTGGGTGGGATGATGGATTATTGGGTCTCTCCGCATGCGGGACAACAAGAAAGACAGTGCGAGTTGGTTGGAGTTGGAGAGAGCTTTGACATTTGGCGCTACTTGAGTCCGTAAGAGGATTATTATCCTAGTACCTAGCAATGGTTGCTTATTTCTTGAATATGCATATAATACCTACTGTGACTCGAGTATCCTTAATTGGCATTCATCCTTGTGCGACGACCAAGGTATGCTGCTACGTCTAGGCGAGACTCGAAAGACTACGGCAATGCGGGGTTCAGCAACATACAATGATACACAACTACGAATTGCTTTAACAGATTACAGACATGAAACCGTCGATACTAACCTGTATGTCCTTGCATAGCAGCGAAGAAAAAAGGGTGCCTTGACCTCTTAGTGAGGGGTTAGCAGATGAGAGGATACTGGACTGGGTTCAGCCTCACGCAGCAAACAGCTTAGGAAGGTGATCATACATAGCCCACAACGTAGGCTTAAAAAAGTAAACGTCAATCACGGCTTATTCTCGGTCTTAGCGATGTCAGTACGTCTCTACAGAGGTACCCCTCTACTCATCCCTCAATACCCACCTCACACTTAAGCTGAGGGGGTTCGGTATGGCACGCTATTCCCCATCGAGATAGCTGTGAAACCCCTCGTCACATCACTTACCCCTCATGAGGAGAGCCCCCTCATACCCCGCACGCCCTCATTCAAATTTCATAGAGAGGTATACCACTGGGTAGGGTACTGAGTCCACATTAAGTCAAACCACCCGAGTCTGGCTGGAGAAATTGCCGCTCGAACGGATGAACAATATCTATCAAGACCATCCAGATCATTCCGAAATGTATGTTTGGAGTTGGTGTCTCAGAGACTTGGCTCTCAGTCAAGCTCGACCCGCTAATCGGAGCTCCAGGTTCTCCAACCAAACGTCAAACGACAAATGATGCAAGTATCTATAAATTGCTCTTATCCGAGCTTTTACCAAGTTTTCACCCGTATCTTCAGATCCCATCAATCAAGGAATGTGCATCATTGTTGAGACTGAGGATACCGAATTTAGACCACCGCGAGTCAGCTACTCAGCTCCGCGATGATGAGGGGAACACCTCCGCCAGCTCCCCACTGCTCCTCACTTGACCGCGCAATAATCTGCAACAGACAGACACAAGTGCGGAACACGGGTGGATGGGCAATTGTTTCGAGTTGTCAATCCCGGTTATTGTCGCTGAACCAGAAAACTGAAGCTGCAAGAAATCAGGAAAGTTCAGAATTTCTTGCAAGAGAGATTCGGTTCCATGATGCGGCATTCGAGAAATGAATCGACTATACTTCTAATGTACAACGTCTATACTACATAGGTACCCCGGGCAATCTCCGGAGCGCTTCCAGCAATCATACATTTCAGCAGTTTGCCCGGTTTAGAAGACAATGTTGACCAATTTGCCTCCTTTGACAACCACTACTCGTCTCCGCTTTTCCCAGTCGTTCTTCTCTCGCAACCAGACGCGGCCTTCGTTGGTTTCCAAAATCCGACTGATAATCCAGTCTTGTTCATCGGTGACTGCACCAGAGCTGTCACTGGATTCTGCAGATGTTGTGGGGGATAATCTTCGAGGAATAGTCACCGTGAAGCGTAGCTTTCCATTGATTTGAACAGCTACAATCTGGCCTCCGCGCGCGGACAGCACATCAGCCTGCTCGGAGGTTAAAAGGGGAGACGGCCACTCGCAGTCGAAGACATCTGGTACACGGGCTCCAATGCTCGCGTTCTCTTCAATGAGTGAATCACTCAGAACCTCCCAACATTCAGAGGCCAAAGCCGGGGCCACAGGAGCGAGAAGCCGAACAAGTGAGGAGACACAAAGGTACAAGACCTGGGGAGATGTCGGGGTTGACGAGGTCAATGTATTGGTCACCTTGGTCAGGTCGGAGATGACGGTGTTCAGACCGTACGGGTTGTTTTCAATGCAGTTGGTTACAGATACGATGGTCTGATGAGTGTGGAGAAGGCCATCAGCGTCAGTATCGCCAAGACCCTGCAAAAGGGAAGGAAGTGTGGAGATAGGGCCGGAAGATTTCTGCAGATCAGTCTGCGAAACTGTGAATGATGCCGAAGCCAGGCTTTGTTTGGCATCCAACACAAGTTTCCAGAGCCGGCCGAACCAACGCTCAATGCCCACAATCTTCATGTCATCCCACTCCAGTACCTCGCTGACAGGTGCGGAGAAAAGAACATGTGCACGAGTGGCATCGGCGCCATACTGTAGCGCGCAGGACGTGGGATCCACACCGTTGTGTTTGCTCTTCGACATTTTTTCAGATGAGATGTTAGGGGCGACCTGGGTGCCTTTGATGAGCGGCTTGTTTGGATTGGAAAGATCAGCTTCCGACGGGAGTAGGTATCGACCAGTGGACGGCTCAGTATAGGTCTTTCCGTGGACCATACCCTGGGTCAGGACTGTTTTGAACGGTTCTGAAGGCCCCGAGACGTTACCCGTCCGAGCAATCTCGGGAAACAACTCCGTCTGGGAAAGAAATTTGTAGATAAATCGAGCATACAGCAAGTGCAGGATAGCGTGCTCGACGCCGCCAATGTAGATATCGACCGGTCGCGCTGCTGAAGGTGAGAATGGCCGCTCCTTGTTGTGGGCGTCCAGAAAGCGGAGATAGTACCAGGACGAGTCAACGAAGGTATCCATGGTGTCTGTGTCGCGCTTTGCAGGCCCGCTGCAACTTGGGCATTTTGTGTTGACCCAATCCTGCGACGACTCGAGCGGATTGCCCTTTTTCCCTTTGAGCCAGTCACCCTCAATCTTGGGTAGTCGGACGGGAAGCTGGTCCTCCGGCACAGGCACAGGGCCACAGCTGTCGCAGTGAATGATGGGGATGGGAGTTCCCCAGTAGCGCTGCCTACTGATCAGCCAGTCCCTGAGTCTCCACTGCTCAACGAAATCACCATGGCCAACTCCTTTAAGGTCGGTAACGATCTGCTTCTTGGCTTCACGGGAGTGGAGGCCCTGGTATTTCCAGCATCTCGAGGTAAGGATACCTTCTTGAGTAAATGCTTTCATGTCGTTTGGAGGCGAGACAGTCCCTGTGCTGTCGTCTTTTGGGTTAGGCGAGTGTTCCGGTTCGATAACGACTGGAATCGATTCGGGCTTTGTGTTCTCATTAAAGAACGCCAAGTCTCTGGAGTCATGACCTGGAACTCCCATAACGGCTCCCTCACCATAGTCACTGAGGACATAAGGGGCCACGAAGATGGGCAATTTCCGCGCAACGTGAGGACTCTCCTTGTCAATGATGTGCAACGGGTTTGAAGCGGTCACACTTGACAGCTTGTAACCAACTTTGGAGTCAGGTGGAAGTGAAGCTGCTTCATCGAGGAATTTCCGCAAGGCCGCATCCTTTTGTGCAGCCTCAAGGACAATGGGATGGTCCAAGGAGAGTGCGATGTATTCAACCCCGTACAAGGTATCTGGGCGCGTGGTGAAAACATTGACATGGAGACTTGTATCACCGCTCCCATCAACAGCGACTGGAAATTTGATTTTCGCACCGTATGACTTGCCCAGCCAGTTGCGCTGCATAGTCAATACGCGCTCAGGCCAAACCCCGGTCAACGAGTCCAGATCTTTCAGTAACAATTCCTTGAAATCCGTGATTCGGAAGAACCATTGTTTTAGCTTCAACTTCTCAACCTTTGCGCCGGAGCGCCATGAGAAACCATTGGCATCAACCTGAAGAGAAGTTAGCCCTCGGGAGTATCTATTTCAAAGTGTAACAGTCACACCTGCTCGTTCGCAAGCACCGTCTTATCAACCGGATCATAATTGACCAGCGCCTCTGCCTGATAGGCAAGACCTTTCTGATACAACATCAGGAATATCCGCTGGGTATGTTCGTAGAACTCGGGCGAGCACGTCGCCAATTCCTAGAGCGCACGCCAGAGCTGGTCAACGAGTGACAAATAGTCCAATTGGGACGTATTCGGCACATACCCGATCCCAGTCAAAAGACGTCGATATGCTGCGTAACTGTTCCTTCATCTTTGCAATATTCTGCTTCGTCCATTCGGCCGGGTCAATCCCGCGTTCGATCGCCGCATTTTCCGCCGGTAATCCGAGCGCATCCCAGCCCATCGGATGGAGAACCTCATGCCCTCGCATACGGTAAAACCTCGCCAATACATCTGAGATCGTGTAGACACGTAAATGGCCCATATGTAATGTCCCCGAGGGGTAGGGAAACATGGAGAGGATGTACGACTTTGGTTTGTCGCCCCGGCTGTCTTTGTTCGCGCCGCCGTTGGGCGAGAACCGCGATCCCTCCGCTTGCCACTTCTCCTGCCATTTTCTATCAATCGCTGGCAGATCGAGTTTCCTGGATATTGGGGGCGCTGCCGTCGTCGCAAGTCGGATGAAAGTGCTTAAGACTGGGCGGTGGGCGGCGCATCTCCATCGGCCTTGTATGAAGACGGTCGGGCTCAATCGTAGTCGGGATATGGATTGCATGTTCGGTGTTTGACCAGCGTATGGTACAGAACAATTAATCACTCGGCCATTGAGGCAACTCGTATCGGGCAATGGAGCTGATATCGAAGCATGACCCAGAGTCTCATCACTGAAAGTCTTCTCCGTACTCCGACGATGATTTTCGGCTCCGGCAGCTTCGCAGCCCAAACTGGACTAGTGCGGAGCTAGCTGGTTTGGGATGGAATACCTTACAAATGAGGCAATCAGTTTGTATTTGTTGATCAGTCGCACGAAGAGGAAGCCTATATCCTCGATCCAGAGAATTTCATTGGGGAAGTACACCGAATGGGTCATTCGCGATCTATCTAGCATCTATATATACACGTGTTGTAACCTGACATAAGAATCTATATCCTGACAACTCTATACTCGTTGGATATCACCATTGCGATCAATCCCACCCCGGAAATGATCGAGTACCACTCTTCCACTCATTATAGTCTCATCTATAATTCCCTGGACATGCTTTGGTTCAACCCGTCCATACCAAATACCCTTACCCGCCAGCGGATGAGGGGAGCCACCTGCCTTCATGCCGGGAGGAATGTACACAATCACATTTCCAGCATATTTGTGACCACCGACATGACTGATCAGTCCGACATGGGCATGCTCAGGGCTGTCAGTGGGATTACCGTCCGCTCCGGCGGATGAGAACCCCCGCGCACGTAAGACGCGGCTGAACTCCTTTTCAAGGACAGGCGCCATGACTCCGCAGCGCATGTCACGACCACCATGACCGCATATCAATACAACAGGAGAGTACTGAATGTCGATGGCATCTGGAAAATTGGATGCAAGTTCAGGCTTGCGGGTTAATTTCGCCCGCTTAGACTCGGAGAGGGAATCTTGCATAGGATTTAGCTGTTCCGGGAGAAGAAAGGCTTGGACAAACGTTGCGAGATCTGTCTGCGCATTTTGCTCCTCGGAGACATTCACGAAAATTGAAGGAATATATATGAATCGGGGAAAGAGAAATGCCGAGGCGGTAGCGGTGGAGGATGAAGGACTAAAGGACGAGTTCGAAACCAAGACGTTATTGAACGGCTACCGAATCGCATTTTGTCAGCGCTTGTAGAACAGCCCCAAGCGTACACTTACATCCGCATAGCGCCCACCACGGCCCATCAGCTTCTTCAAGCCTCTAACTAGCTCTCCCCAGCTTTGGCTCTTGCCATCATCCTCAATGCGACTGGCCCAATCTCTCTGGCCAGTGCAGATGACGACCTGCTGGGTGTATGCTGCCATTGTTCCGTTCAATGGCTGATCAAAGTCGATCGGGAGCCCTTCGGGCATAGCTGGTGTAGCAGGACATGAGCAGGCGGGCTCTGGACATTTCTGGGTCACAGGAAAAGGTGGTGGTATATTTAGAGGAGCGCGGAGGGGATTCGAGCGGGAAATACTGAAAGAGAAGAACCGAGCTGGTGTGGTGGTCTTGCCGCACCCACTTATGAGTGAGCGGCAATTCGTCAATCGTGGCCTCATGAAGTATGCTTGTTTATGTTATGCGCGAGGGGTTAATTGCAGGGGTATTTTGAGAACTTCGCGGATATATCGGCAGATTAAATGACCTGATTATAAGGCAAGCCAACAAGTGTGTTCGAGGCGGACTCGGAGATAACGGAGATTTTTCCTTTCTGCTCAGTCCGGCTACTAGACAAAGGACATTGAATATTCTTTTTTAGTTCTCCTACCAACTTATAAATAGAAGCATATTAGGTGCTCATTATTATCATTATCAAGCTATCATGCCATCGTAACACGCTTCATACAAAGGTCACATCAACATCACTCAACAAATATCCACTTGCTCGTGTTATCGTAATATGCAGCAGTGAGATAAGGCATTAACATCATATATAGGAGGAAATATCAAAACAGGAGAAAGAAAGCTAATAGGTGATGTCCTGATGTATGTGCTGATGGCCGAGAAGTGCCAAAGATACCATGCGATCACTTGGATCCTCCTGTAAACGCAGCAAGCGCATTTGGCGAGTCAGTTAGCGGCCATAGGGCGTAATAGAAGCCAATTGCCCCTGATACAAGGAGTACATAGTACCCAATTGTCCAGCCCAGGCCAAGTTTACCATAAGCGGCGTATGCGCTCTTCACATCGGAGTCTTCCTTGCCTTTACCCAAGGGCGGCCCGATGGGGACACCTGCCTCGACCCTTCCCCAAAGGCGGGGAAGTCCGCACCAGTTGCAAAAGCTGTGGGCGAGAATGACCGCCAGCAAAGATCCCGTTCGAAGATACAAGAAGGTGGCATACCAACCAAAGATGGTAGTGTAGCCAAACTGGAACACCGATCGGAACAATGCTGCAAAGATCGATGTATCTGGATGCGTCAAGCGGAACTCATAAAAGTGGTGCACATGTGCGATTCCAAAATAAAGAGGCGCCACAAAAACAATGTGGCCCGGTGTGTCCTTGGCTAGGAGATGGAGAGGAACAATGGCGGACCGAAACATGATCTCCTCCGTGATCGGACCCTGCATCTTTTGTAAGCCATAGTTGCAACGAGTTCCCGTACTCGACTTCTACTCACAGCGATATAATTCCGCCATCCAATCCAACCATGGAGAGTCTCGGAGATTTTGTTTCCTTTGAGCCAGTCTTTCCATTCCCCTTCGGCAATGCCACGCTCAAAAAGAGGTCCCATAAACAGGATAGCTGTCAGAAGTAAGGCCCGACAGATGTCCCAGAGGTTGATAGGCCACCAACCCAGAAGCCTGACAGCCTCTGGAATTGAAGCATTGTTCTTAGCTACGATCAGCCATAGAACCGCAAGGGTGCCCAGGGAACAAGACCAGGTCACCACCCTGATTCTTGCTCGAATCACGGAGGGAGCATCTCGACTGAGCGTCTGAGAGGGGCGCGTAGTTGGGGATACGTAGAATGGTGCCACATAGAGTAGAGTTAGGAGCACCTGTAGTTGGAGTTAGTCGCGCGTTCTGTATAGACCATGAAATCCACGATGAGCTTCCAGTCTTTATTGTGTTCTCTCGTAATTTCCTTTCATACTGGAATGAAACACACTGTTCATTTCCTTGAAATATGCACGAGGAATGACAGCGCTAGAGCCAGAGATACATACCGAGAAGAAAGCGGCCGCGCGGATCGAAATGACAGGCTCGTCTGGTGCGGGATAGTTAGAGCCCAATATGCGAATGCTTTAGAGGAGAGACTACCATGATTTTTAGTATAAAGCGTTCGAAGACGCGCCAGAAGTCCAACAGGAGCCATCAGGCCTAAAGTAGTGGTAGCGATGTGTCGGACTTTGCCTTATCTGCAAAAGCGTTGGAGAAATTCACGTGCAAGTAAACAAGCGGCAGGCAGATAGGCTGGCAATCAGAGATTACACAAGCTCGAGCTTTCAGCGAAAATAGAAAGCCGATACCGATTATGATGATGATGATGATTCCCCTGAGAATATAGTTGCTGAAATGTAATGCATCAGGCCAGCCTTACAGCAAGGTTGGATGTGAAGCATGAGAACGACTGTCCAACAAAGAAAAAGCAAGCAAGAAACAAGGCGTGGAGGTTTGTGCCTGATTTCAGAGGCATCAACTATTGCCTGACATCCACAATATCCGAATCGGGAATGCTGGATCTCTTCCCCACTGTCCAGCTTCTAGACCTCGACACTCTGTTCTTTCTGTACACGACTCTATGACATTCGAAAAGGATGCTGCTCGTGAACCCCGCGTCCTATCCTTGGTCCTTTTCGTCTAGCTTCTGTTCTGAATTTGGATGGCCGCAGTTGACTAAGTCACTCGAAAGAATCAGAGAGTGGTAACTCGAGGACACTAAATCGGTAGACGAGATCCACTGGTGAGTTGGCAACCTTACTGCATGGGACTAAATTAGTCGCTTCGAGACTGTCATTTTGTCCTCTGAAACAGCGCCCTTATTGGACTTTACCAAGAATGATCAAATTGCTGATTCCCGCTGCCAATCAAAGTTTCTGATTTTCTATCTAGATCCTCAAATCGTCGGGGACGAGGGAAATCGAAGTGTTTTAGTTCAACTATCATTACCTTACGGAGCACTGAGGCTGTCGATTAGATCCACCCATGGTTCATTTCATGGCTATCTGTTTAATATCATCTCGAGTCCTCGAGGTTCGAGAACTGGAAAGGCAAGATCGACTCCGTGAACTCCACCAGTGAGATCGGCCGCGGCAATTTTACAACGTATTGCCCTTGTGGAGGCTGAGTCGTGACGAGTGTCTCTCGAGCGAGTACAGGAAGCCACAGACTTACAGGTGAATGCTCTGCGTGTGCATACCCTCCTTGATCATGCTTTCTAGAGCAAGTGGTACTCCGTACCTTGCATATATTTGCAGCCAATACAGAGTATCCGCGCCTCACCGAATCCACCATTATCACCGAAACCACCATGTACCTTTTATATAGCATCACCATATAAACAGTACATACTTATTATTCACTCTATGTATGTATACATTTAGTTTTTCTAGTTTTTTATTATTTAGATATATAAGTGTCTATCTTTTATTGCTATCTTTATTATTAGAAAGGAAAATTATAAGTATTTAAGATAAAATAATCTCTCTTTATTTTTTTCCCTAAGAAAGAGTTTTCTAGAGAGAAATTTTATACATTCTTGTATCTCTAATTTTTGGTTAAAACTCTTAAAAAGCTTTTAATTATAAGATATTTCCTCTTAATATTTTAATATTACTATTAAAAATATAGCTGTCCCTAGTGAATACCTAAGATATTAGACGTAGGGAGTATGTACCTTCTATATGGTGATGCTATATAAAAGGTACATGGTGGATTCGGTGAGGCACACCCTCACCGGGAACTGGTGTGGGTGTGCTTGACACGGATAGTTCCCACGGAGGACTGTGGAAGCTGATCACTATCTGCAACCTGCAAATGCTCGAAGATTACCACAATCCGGGCAATACCGTCTACCGAAGTAACGTTCTCGACTGCTCCCCTTATCCGACCCCTATTGTCGCACTCATGGTCCGTCCAACCTCAACAACCGAATAGTGATCATCACCGAGCGAAATGAGTCTCAAATCGTCTAATTTCCAGCAAGTGGAACAATGATTCGTGCCTGTTCCCTGATAATTTTACCTGAGGATCATGACGATGAGGATTATTATTAGATCCGATGATCCGTTACCACTCTCTTGGTACAAGCTGATTACGGAGTACCCTGAGACGAACTAGCCATGAACCTCTTCGGTCTCCTCTATCCATGTGGAAATTTGGGCAGACCTCAGGATCCAGGCCTTTATTATCACCCCTAGACGGCATTACGACTAGTACTATGGAGCACTCCGTACCAACTCCGCGTACTTTCCCACAGAGGACAAACATAACAACTATCTCGATCCAAAAAGGCAAGCTGCTACAAAGATCATCCCTGCTTCGCTTTCTATTCATTTCCACCAACCAATTGGATGGTTTCAGAGCACTGCTTTAAAGCGTGCAGCTGCATACCCCCTGGCAGGGAAAAGGCAACAAACGAAAGGTCCGTAATCTGCCCGCTTGGCTGCCACAGCCCCCTCCAGCGTCTCCACAGGTCAGAAATGGCTTACGGGCTGCGGCTAAACAGCTCGCTAACGTCGGGCTTTTCACCGCCAGCGGAGCAACGAGATTCCATATAAATGATATTGCCCACTTAGTGCTGCTCGTGCCTTGCATGCTTTACTTATTCTGATGGGTTTTCCGTGTTTCAGGTTGTGGTTCATCGTTTTCCAGTCGTTGTGCTTTCTGTCGCTCTTTTAGAGACACTCGTTTGAGTGCTGCTTCTTGGTGTCTCCAGTTCAAACGCTCTTTGCGCCTTCAATTCTTCAACTTACTTTCGCTCCACCGGTCTGGCTTGACTCCTTATTCCAACTGTTGGCGAGAATCTTTTTTGTCGTCACAAATACGCTCTTTTCGTTGTCTTGCCATTGAATTGGACTTATATTCTGCATTGGGTTTTGGTTGTATCAAAGCATTCCTTATTGCATAACAGCGCTATAGACCACAACAAACAACAGCAACAATAACAATAACAACAACACAACAGCAGCATACCTCTCTAGCTTCATCATCAATTGTCACCCATCGGACCGACAAACCAACCCAGTCAACCTCGATCAGCAGTATCGTGTACTACCAAATTTTCCATTCTTTCGATCTCGACTTTGCCTCGGTCAACCGCATGGTCGGCTTAATTACCTTCTGTTCTCCACACTCATTTCGCTATCGTTACTTTTGACTAATTAATTAATATTCTGCCGGTGTTTGCTGATAATATGAAATAATCA